AAAAAACTAATGGACCATGCAAACCTCAGATCCTGAGATCAGAACTAGATGGTGCCCAACCTGAAAAGTAGAAGATCCCAGATAGAATGGGAGGAAAATGTGGAACAAAATTCACAATCAGGTTTTTCAATAGGAAACTCTTGAGACTCTTCAAATATATTTCTGAATATAACTTTGTTTGTTTATTTAATTAATTTTATGTGTAAATGTAAGACGTCACCACAGTCCACAATATAATAATAGCATTTGGTAAAAACAGTTTTGGAGAAAACACTCTAAGACAGTCTAGCAGATATTCTGTCGGTGTTACTTTTACTGCCTTCTTACTAATTAAAATGACAAGTTTATACTAAGTCCTGATATATTAGTATATTCCCTTTTGTTCAAGGACTCATTTCTAAACTGAGACTCGATTATTGAAGCATTCCTAGAGATGAATATCTCTCTGAGTTTAGAGTTACCAAAATCATCTGTGTCCACTAGTCTGCCATGTAACTTTGCTCTGTTTAGTTCTGAATTGGATGTATAGGTTATATTGCTGTTGCTATTGTTAGATCCCATCAAGTCAGTTCTGACCCATAGTGACCCCATGCACAAGAGAGCAAAGACGTGTCACAGTCCTGTGCCAGCCTCACAATTGTTCCTCGCCTGGGGCCCATTGCCGCAGCCACCGTGGCAGTAACATGACCAACATTACCCATTGCTCACTACAACTAGTCAAAGAAATTCTTATTCACAATCTTTTTCTAAACAATCTGAAAACAGGACCGAGAGGATGGAATAGTGAACATAGCAGATGCCTGAAAAAGTGATCAAGAAATTGATCCACGTTGGTGTGAACATATCATGGACGGTAAGAGCATTTAGTAAAGGCCAATGCTCGCTTTTCATTCAGCAGAGTTCTCAGGGGCAGAGGCAGGGCATCAGATGGAGACCTGAAAAGCCTTCTTGGCCACCCTGGGACAAGAAAGCCAAAGGCTTTTCCCGCCTCAGTTATTCTAGGAAATCAACCAGGAGTAGTCACCAAATCCCATTTTGGGGTGGCTGTTTGCTGGCTG